TGCATTATGGGATGTTGTTGCTGTTGTTCAGTCGCACAGTCGAGTCCGACTCTTCTCAACCCCATGGACAAGATCACGCCAGGCCCTCCTGTCTTCCACCGTCCTCTGAAGTTTGCTCAATTTTATGTTCGTTGCATCTATGACACTGTCTAACCATCTCATCCTTTGCCGTCCCCGTCTTCTTTGACCTTCAATCTTTCAAATTATGGGAGGTAGTCACAGTCAAACAGGGAGCAGTAATGCCTGAACACAGGTAATGCTCTATGTCAGGGGTCATAAGAACCTAAGAACAGAGAAGCCAATGTCTGATCAGGCCAATGGCCCATCCAGTCCAACACTCTGTCACACAGTGGCCAAAAATACCAGGTGCCATCAGGAGGTCCAGCAGTGGGGCCAGGACACTAGAAGCCCTCCCACTGTTGCCCCCCCCAACACCAAGAATACAGAGCATCCCTTGCCCCAGACCGAGAGTTCCTATCTATACCTTGTGGCTAATAGCCACTGAGGGACCTCTGCTCCATATGTTTATCCAATTCCCTCTTGAAGTTGTCCATGCTTGTAGCCGCCACCACCTCCTGTGGCAGTGTGGTGCCCATCAAGTGTTTTTAGACATTGAAATTTGAGACATGGGAAGAACAAGTGAAAGAATCTATGATAAAAGTTTGTTTTTATATATGACAACAGCAGCAAGGTTACTATATGCACAAAAGTTGAATATTCCCTACAATAGAGGAATGGTTGGCGAAGGTATTGGAACTTGCTGCGATGGCCAAGCTTACTTCACTGGTTAGAGAAAAGACAGTAAGTTTGTTTACTACTGACTGAAAACTCCTTAGACTTTTTGCATTAAATAGATAATAATGACAATTTGTGGGTTTTAAAGATAAAGAACCTAGATAATAGAAAAAAGAGTTTTTCTTCTTTGTAAACACAGACTAAGAAAATTTTGCAATCACGCATATATTTGTTGCAGAGAAGCCTCCTGTTCTTTTAATTTATATGGCCTTTCTCTTATTTTCTCTGGGGGGTTTTTTGTTTCATCTTCTCTGTTTTGTTACCTGCAATTTTTTCTCCTAATAAAATTTTACATGGTCAAGACCAGTGTTCCCTCTAAGCTGAGTTAGCATGAGCTAGCTCAAGAGTTTTTTAGCCTCTGGCTCAGGAAGGATGGCTCCAGAGCAAATGAATGTATGCAGTAGCCAAATTATTCTTTCACAGCTTTAATGCCAGTAGCTCACAAGACTCCACAGCTTAGAGGGAACATTGGTCAAGACCAATGCTCCCTCTAAGCTGTGGAGACTTGTGAGCAAAAATTCTGCTTTGTGAGCTACTGGCATTAAAGTTGTGAGCAAGTGATTTGGCTACTGCATAAATTAGTTTGCTCTGGAGCCCTCCTTCCTGAGCTAAGACAAAAATGTGTGAACTAGAGGCTAAAGAACTGTGAGCTGACTCACACTAACTCAGCTTAGAGGGAACACTGGTCAAGACTTTACAGTTGGATTGAAGAATACATTAAATGAAATGTGAACACAACTGAAATAGAGGACAATGAGAACATCTCTATTAAACTGTGCAAGAGGCATATTTAACATTATAAGATGTAGAAACATACTTTTACTGAGAGATGTATGCACAACTTAATAGTTAACTCAAAGAGTCGGAGATTCTCCCATTGAATGTTTGTATGTACTATTGTTTGTTTCCCTTGTTTGTCTCTGTCTGTTCGTTATAAAATAAAAAATATTTACCGGAATGTTTTTTTTAAATTGTATTTAAAAAAAGGAAGTGGCAGAGGCAATGTTGGCCTTTTTCTCGGCAAGGCTTCTGACTGACTGAGCACTGGAGATCTGATTGGCTCTACGGAGTTGTCGTGGCTCCCAACACAGTACAAGGATCTTTGCTGTGTGACTGAAGGTAAGCTGTGGCAGCCATTTTGTGGCTGGCTCCTCCACCCTCCGGCAGCCATTTTGTGGCTATGCCCGCCGCTCAGTGTCAGAAATCCGAAGTTGTCCACGGGCTCAAAAAGGCTGTTCTACATGAATCTCAGATCCACAACACCCCCCCAACCCGACCAAACGATGTTCTTTGAAAACAAGATTAGAAAAATAAATGCTCTTTCCCCCTCTCAGTCCCCCTGGATATTCTTGCACTAGAAATCCTATTTATACCCCGCCCTTCACTCAGAGCAGCTTACAAACTCCTTTCCCTTCCCCTCCCCACAAAAGACACCCTGTGAGGTAGGCGGGGCTGAGAGAGCTCTTTCGAGGACTGCTCTTTTTCAAGAACAGCTTTGACAGAACTATGGCTTCCCCAAGGTCATCCAGCAGCTGCAAGTGGAGGATTCGGGAATCAAACCCGGTTCTCCCAGATTAGAGTCCGCGCACTTAACCACCACCAGTGTTCCCTCTAAAGCTGAGTTAGTGTGAGTTAGCTCACAGTTTTTTAGCCTCCAGCTCACACATTTTTGGCTTAGCTCAGGAAGGAGGGCTCCAGAGCAAACTAATTTAGGCAGCAGCCAAATCGCTCGCTCACAAATTTAATGCCAGTAGCTCACAACGTAGAATTTCTGCTCACCAGACTCCACAGCTTAGAGGGAACATTGACTACCACACCAAACAGTTTTGGTGGCTGACGGACGTTTCTTACCCGGTCTGCCTGTCTCCAATGATCAACTCACGCTGGCCACGGCCAATGGGTACCAAACTGTCAACGGCCTTGATGCCGGTCTGCATGGGCTCACGCACAGAGATCCGTGGAATGATCCCAGGGGCCTTCAGGCCAACCCTCCTCCGTATCTTGGAAGCGATGGGACCCTTCAAAGGCAAGGCAACGTTGTCACTTTTCTTAAAGTTCAAAATTCAGTCAGCACGAACAGCTACATGCAGCCCCAGAAGACCCAACTGCCACGCTACCTTTCCATCAATGGCGTTACCCAGGGCGTCTACGACACGACCCAAGAGCTCTTCACCCACTGGGACATCCACAATGGCTCCCGTCCTCTTCACAATGTCCCCTTCCTTAATCAGTCTGTCGTTACCAAACACGACAACACCAACGTTGTCAGGTTCCAAGTTCAGGGACATACCCTAGGGGGAAAAACAAAGTGACTGCGCATTTAAGCAAGAATAAAGGTAGTAGAGTACGACATTCTAACTGAGTGCTGCTACTAGGGCTGATACACACAGAGAAGTACAATTTCAGCAAATTTTGAAGCTGTAAGCGGGGGACGGGACGGGACATTTTCCTCCTTCTGGGGGAGGAAACGGAATCGGGGGGAGGGGGAATTAAACTGGACTCAATGCACACTTCTGATCATAGCTCCCTACTTCTTTCATTGATTTAACACAGAATCACCATTTCTAATTTAACTGGCGTATAAAATTGTACGATTTGGCACGTTTATGGATTTAAAGTATATGTTTTTTCCCCATGAGAAAAACTACAAGTGTACCCAAGGAAGAGTTGCAAGCTGTGGCGCCCCACGCTAACAGAGCACATCGTTCTTTAATGCTTGCCATCTGAGAGGGGGGGAGGGAGAAGGCGAAGACCGAAAACAAATCTGATCGTAAACCCAAGTGTATTGTCTGGAAAGAAACTTATAAGAAGAGGAAAAGAGATTGGATTTATACCCCGCCCTTCACTCAGAGCAGCTTACAAACTCCTTTCCCTTCCCCTCCCCACAAAAGACACCCTGTGAGGTAGGCGGGGCTGAGAGAGCTCTTTCGAGGACTGCTCTTTTTCAAGAACAGCTTTGACAGAACTATGGCTTCCCCAAGGTCATCCAGCAGCTGCAAGTGGAGGATTCGGGAATCAAACCCGGTTCTCCCAGATTAGAGTCCATGCACTTAACCACTACACCAAAGGAGGAGGAGGAGGAGATTGGATTTATACCCCGCCCTTCACTACCCAAAGGAGTCTCAGAGTGGCTTACAAACTCCTTTCCCTTCCCCTCCCCACAACAGACACCCTGTGAGGTAGGCGGGGCTGAGCGAGCTCTGACAGAAACTGCTCTTTTTCAAGCACAGCTCTGACAGGACTATGGCTTGCCCAAGGTCATCCAGCCAGGTGCAAGTGGAGAAGTGGGGAATCAAACCCGGTTCTTCCAGATTAGAGTCTGCGCATTTAACCACTACACCAAACTGGTTCTATATAAAAATCTCTCCGATAATGCATTATTTAATATACTATAACATATTCAGCGTTGCCAAGCTTATTTAGGGGCAATTTTTTAAAGAAATCTTGAAAATATTACATATGCCTACGGCAAGATTTTTCAGCACTCCCCAAAGGGAGGAAGCTGTGGCTCACTGGCAGAGCCTCTGCTTGGCAGGCAGAAGGTCCCAGGTTCAATCCCTGGCATCTCTAGTTAAAAGGACCAGACTGGAGGTGATGTGAAAGACCCTAGCCTGGAGAGCCGCTGCCAGTCTGAGTAGACAATACTGACTTTGATGGACCGAGGGTCTGATTCAGTAGAAGGCAGCTTCAATGTGCTTCACAATTCTCCCATTAAAAAAATGTTTAGTTCAAAAAAGGGGGGGGGGGAAGCACACGATTGCTCTCTTGAAGTATTTGAAAGGCTGCCGCTTACAGGAGGGCAGGGAGGTGTTAGTCTTGGCAGCAGAAGACTGGACTTGCAATAATGGGCTTAAATTACAGGCGGAAAGGTCCTGGCTGGATATTAGGATTATTATTTTTTTTTTTAACTGTAAGAGTAGTTCAGAAGTGGAATCGGCTGCCTAGGGAGGTGTTCGTCTTGGCAGCAGAAGGCAGGACTCGCAATAATGGGCTTAAATTACAGGCAGAAAGGTCCTGGCTGGATATTAGGGTTCTTTTTTTTAAATTTTAAACTGTAAGAGTAGTTCAGCGGTGGAATCGGCTGCCTAGGGAAGTGGTGAGCTCCCCCTGGCAGTTTTCGAGCAACGGCTGGACAAACACTTGCCAGGGATGTTTAGGCTGATCCTGCATTGGCCAAGAGGGCTGGACAAGATGGTTTGTATGGCCCCTCCCACCAAGCGGAGTCCCTCCCCACCACTGATCTTACACCCAATCTTCCGTGATTTTCACCCCAAGCCTTTCACCCTTTGTACTTAGGACATGCGCAATCTAACAGGCAAGGGAAAATCTTGAACCTAAGAACAACTATTGCATTTACTACAAAAATGGCTGCAAAGAGGAGAGGACTTGCCTTCAGCCCAGAAGAAAACTCAACCATTTTCTAATTTAACTGGCGTATAAAATTGTACTAGTTGGCATGTCTATGGATTTAAAGTATACGTTTTTCGCCCATGAGAAAAACTACACGTGCACCCAAGGAAGAGTTGCAAGCTGTGGCACCCCACGCTAACAGAGCACATCATTCTTTAATGCTTGCCATCTGAGAGGGTGGGAGGGAGAAGGCGAAGACCGAAAACAAATCTGATCGTAAACCCAAGTGTATTGTCTGGAAAGAAACTTATAAGAAGAGGAAAAGAGATTGGATTTATACCCCGCCCTTCACTCAGAGCAGCTTACAAACTCCTTTCCCTTCCCCTCCCCACAAAAGACACCCTGTGAGGTAGGCGGGGCTGAGAGAGCTCTT